CTTCAAGGCAAGACTAGTAGCGAAATGGTACACTTAAAAATTTGGAATCGACTATACATATTGTTGATGCACAAAATCAGAGAGGACTTTAGTACAACAGAAAGTGTTAAGTTTGTGACCTTCGCTAGATTGCTCCAGTCACTAGTGTGGATAAGTATGCAAATGGATAGAGACAGGGAAGCAAACACAAGATGTACGTGGTTCACCCAGATTGGCTACATCCACGGAGTAGATGAGTTCTCATTAATTGTAAAGGGTTTACACAAGTACATAGGTTCAAGCTCTCCTTTAGTGAGTACTAGTGAATGATTTAGTACAAATGACATTAGGAAATATTGTGAGAGAATGATCTTTATTTATAGAAGAGAGTTTCTAGTTTCATTCTGATATTGACACGTGTCATGTTGTGATTGGCTTCTGATGTTGACACGCGTCATGCTATGATTGGCTTCTGATGTCAACACGTGTCGCACTGTGATTGGCTTCCTGGTTGGAGGGAAACTCTTCTGGGTCCTTGACGGTATAACGTTGACCGGTGCTCAGTAGTTTCGGGATTGGTCAAGTATGGTACAAACACATATACATAGTGTTCTAAAAATCGGCCTAGGCGGCCGCCTAAGCGTTTGGCGGTGGAGTCCCGATCCGATTTAGGCTAAAGCGTTCAGGTAAGGCGGGAAGGATTTAGGCGGCTACCTAGGCGTCTCTAGGCGCTCAAGGCGGCGGTCTAGGCGACGGTCGATGCTATGCAAATCTCCCCTTGCATCCATACAATCCACCACCCACAACCCAAATCTTCAAACTTGCGCTCTTACACCCAACAATACACATAATCCGTCCGTTGGGTTTTTCTGCAGAGGGATAAGGGGATCTGTTGAAGAGATTTGTCCGTTGGGTTTTACTATAGAGAGAGAAGAGGATCTGTTGAAAAGGTATGTCTGTTTTGTTAAAGATAAGAGAGAGAGAGAGAGAGTCGAAAGAAAAGTTGAAAATGGGAGATCCGTCCATTTTGTTGAAAAGAGAGAGAGAGAGAGAGAGAGAGAGAGAGAGAGAGGGAGTCGAAAGAAAAGTTGAAAATGGGAGGAAAAGAAAGGCATAACTAAAGATAGAGAAAGAGATTTCTCTGCAGAGAGAGAAAGAAGAGATCTATTGATAATAAATGCAACCCTAGAGCCACTAAACAAGTGATGGTTGATTGGGATTAGCTTTGGAGAAACCAAAAAAGGTTGTAGAAAAGTTATCAGTTCAATTGAAAAGAAGGGCTTTTCTATCAAGTTGGGTCCATTTTGTAGCCCACTATTTTGTTCAAAGAAAAAACAAACTAGGCCCAATATTCTTTGTATAAAATTAGAAAAAAAAAGTCCTAAAATTATACACAAATACTCATATTTTATAATATATAGTGTAAATTTATGTAAATCCGCCCGACTAGCGCCTAGCGTTTTTTTAGAACCTTGCATATACATTTGCTTTTGTGGCCAAGATCAACACAATCTGTGTTTTGTTGTCCTTGGCTGTAAACTTAATTGGCCCTTACAACAGTTCGATGTGAAGAATGCCTTCTTGCATGGAGATTTGACCGAAGAGATTTATCTGGATCTTCCTATGTGGTGTAATGCTCTAGATAAATACAAAAAAGGTGTGCATGTTGAAGAAATCCTTGTATGGTTTGTAAAAATCCCCTCAAGCATGGTTTGGAAGATTCACAAAATCTTTGGTTACAGACAAAGTTCTTGAAAAGACAAAATGGGACTGCACTAATTGTGTGTGTAGATGATATGTTGGTGACAAAGAATGATCCTGAAAAGCGTGTGGCTTGCAAAGATACCTGTTTACAGAATTTGAGACGAAGGACCTTGGATCCTTGAAATATTTTATAGGGATTGAGGTATCAAGAAGTAGTTCTTGAATTTTCTTGTATCAGAGGAAGTATATTATTGTTTTATTGCACGAAACCAACATGTCATCTTGTCAATTAGTAGCTACACCATTAGAGGAAGGATTGAAGCAGTGTTGATCCTAATCAAGTATTGGTTGACAAAGGGAGATACCAAAGGTTAGTAGGTCATTTAATGTACTTGGCACACATAAGACTAGACCTTGCTTTGTCTTGAGTGTAGTAAGTCAATACATCCATGACCCTGGAGAACAACATATAAATGCAGTAATGAGGATTTTTACGATACCTAAAGGGAAGTCCAGGCAAATGAATTTTGTTTAAAAGGAATAACCATCTTAGGGTTGAAGGTTATACTAATGCAGATTGGGCAGGTTTGGTTGACGATATGCGCTTAACATCAAATTACTTTACATTCGTTGGGGGTAACTTGGTTACATAGAGGAGTAAAAACAGAATGTCGTTGCCCATTCTAATGCAAAAGTTGAATATTTGGCGTTGGGGGTTTGTGAAATTTTGTGGCTTAAGCTTCTGTTAAGTGATTTGGGTACAAAAGCACGATCATCCCATGAAATTATTTTGTGATAAAAAAGCTGCTGGTGACATTGCACATAATCCGATACAACATTATAGAACAACACATGTTAAAGTTGATCAATTCTTCATCAAAGAAAAAATGGAAGGAAAAATAATTGAGGTACTGACAATAAGAACAGAAGATCAGTTGTTGATATCCTTACCAAGATTGTTTCGAGTCATAAGTTTTCAAGTTTCGTACACAAGTTGGGCATGTGCAATAGATAAGCACCAACTTGAGGCGGAACGTTGACTTTGTGTTTTAGGTAGGATTCTTAATTGATATCAATCCCATGTAATCTCATGTAATCCTGTGTAATTAGTTTTCTTTCTATTTACGTTAGGGTTGTATTCTTATAAATGCCTCTCAATGAAAAGAATACAAATATATTTCAAGCATTCTCTTCTGATTATTGCATTGTGATTTCTTGATTGAAAACGAGTTAGTATCATGCCTCCTATTAGAAACAGTAAGCCTACTAACAGATAGTATCTCTTTGAGTCTCAAAAAAAGAAAAAAATAATCGATGTGTATCTTTCTTCTTGATATTAATTTTTAATCATATTTCATGTAGAAATTGGCTCTTAGGATCAAAGAACTCTAGAGTCCTACTTCGAATACTCGCTTAGGAACTCCAAATTTTCTTAATCAATCATGTTCATATAACATTTCAAAAAAATTCTTTTTCCTTAGGCATAACACGTTTTACCAAAAATACATTACTCATTCTATGACCCCACCCACACACCTTGCAAAAACATCTGATACAATTCCCACTGTCAAAATCGTGTGTTACCTAACATTCCAAACCAAAGTGGCAAAGGTTGCTCATGACTTTTGCTTGTAGCTTTCCCATTTGGTGATTAATCATCTATTAAAATGACACTAATCCCCCATTGATGTGGATGTTTTTTTCTTAATTGCACGACTCTCAAGTCTTAACCACACACGCTTCTTCTTGACAAAATCACGTTCTGCACTTTAAAGTGCCCACCTCACCACAACTGAAAAAGACATCTCCACCCTCCTCCATAAACTCTCAAGATTCGACGTGTTTGGTAAATACAACGTTAATATTACATTAAGTGGTAAAAACAGAAGTTGAATTAAACCACACAGTTGATCATTCATAATAATTTGGCTCAAACTCGTTATAAACGAAAATCGAACTTAAAATTTTTCATTTACAAATAAAAAAAATATTATTAAACTGCAACGCTAAGTAGCTAGTTTAAGCACAACTGACGAGGATGTTTTCGATAAAAAGGAATAGGAAATGGATCATGTCTGAATCTCTTCTACCAAATTCATCCAATCAACAAATCTGGGTCCTTGAAATTTGATTCAATGACTAAAAACAGGACCCGTTTAAAAGTTATAATAATTTTAGCCATTAGATCAAATTTCAAAGATCCGAATTAGAAGATTTAATGAATTTAATGAAAGGAATCCGGAGAGAATTTCTTTCCAAACGAATACAGCATACACCTTGACTCCACGGAAAGCAAAAGGAAAAGAAGAAATAAAAGGCCAACTGCAAGTAGCAAACTTCATTTATTTATTACTCGAATTTACGTACAAAACTCAAGTGTCCAAATTAGTCATCGTGTCTACACTTGCACCGTCCAGCTCTCATCACCTAATAAATTGTTGGACTTGTTAAACCCTACCTTATATTTTATATATAGACGTCGACCAAAAAAACAAAAGGTGGCTGCAGTGGTTACAATTGTGGTGCAACAAACAAACTTAAAGATAACATAAGTAATGAGAAACCATCTACCATAAATTTTGAATGTTGCCATTTAAATTTTAGGATTAAGTACCTGAAATTTTCTAATATTTTAGTGTTATTTCAAACCAGTTTCAATCTTTTTAAATATTCTAAATAAGCACTCAAGTTATTGAAAATGTCAGTTAAATTCTATTTTTATCTCAAAATCATTCAAATGTTATGGAAGCATAACCTCCATCAACTCACGGCCACCCACAACCTCCATCAAGCCATCATCTCCAAACCCAATGCACAACCACTAACTTTACTCTACAACTCAAGGCGGCAACATCGAGAGGGAGGTTTAACCTTCAATTGCAGCAGTAAGCCAATATCGCTTGTTTAAAGTATGATTCAAGCCCCTAAGTTGGACAACTGAAATTAAAATTACACGGTGTAACTTTGTACCTCAGTCATTCAATTTAATTTTGTCATCAATGCTAATAAAATTAATTCACAGGATACTTTGCTGGAACGTGAAAAGCACGGAATGCGTACTACGCACTCTGCGTACCCCATAAGTCGACCGCCGCCCAAAATCTTTCCAAAAACTCTAAAGTACAACACTCTCCAGCGTAATCCATCGGGAACTGTTTACTACTGTGTCATTGTAGTACAACCCCGTAAAGCACGCTTTAATTTCCCTAAATTCCCACCAAAAGCAAACACAATTTATTATTTTTTAATTTTTAATTTCTACAAAATCGATCGGTGAATAAACAAAGCGCTCGTTTCCACGCACTTTGCGTCACCAAACGCCGTTAGTCCTGCTACGACGTCGTAGAGCTCAACAGCTACCAACGACGTTACCAAAACCGTCTAAAACGACCTCGATTCCTCTCTCTCTCTTCTTCTGCAACGAACAACAAGCAGCGGCTGCAGCCTCTCACTCTCTCCCTTTCTCTCTCTAGAATTTTCTCTCTCTGCAAGTCTCTTTTTCCTCTCTCTCCAGCTTCACCTCTCCGGGAGCAACTCGTAATGCACAGCTTGCTTTCTGCGTGCTTTTATTTATTTTTTATTAAAATTAATTTTTGATTATTCTGATTATTTGTTATCCAGTTTCATAATTTAGGGATTAATTTTTTTCGAAATATTTGGAATTTTGACTACGAATTCGATCTTTTGGGCATGAAATTCGGATCCTCTGACTATTGTAGTTCCTCAATGTTTACTAATTTTAGGGCATTTTTGTAATCTGATTTTCCTGAATTTTTGGATTTTAGACTCAATCTTGAGTTCCCTAAGGAGTAGCAGATTGAATCGATATCTAGAGCTCTATATATTTGCCACTCACTGTCACTGTGCTTGTTTGTGTGCGGGTGGGCTCAGTTTTGGTGGTGTTTGTGAGTGGAAAAATATGAAAAATGAATCTGCGTTTGTCTAATTTTTGAAGCTGTGCCGAAATCCAGAGATTTATTTGACTGCCTATAAATTCGATTCGAGTTGGGTTTGGCCATATTTTTGCATTCACTGTGAATCCCACCTTGAAAAAGGAATAGATGAGAGATTCGTGAACCGTTTTCGTTTGGGTAAACTTAGTTTTGAATTTTTGTGGTGCCTATGAGGAGATTGGTTTTCTTCTTAATTTTTCGCGGTTTGTAGTTTCGGATTCGTTTATGTTTCGTGCTTTTGTGTAACTGAACTAGGGTTTATTAAACTCAATCACTTCCTTTTATGCTCGTGCCTTGTTACGATAGAAATGATGATGGTTTGTTTCTTCGATTGCAAATGTCAGAAGGAGCAACTTTTTATGGGGTCAGGGTTGCTGCGACTGTCAGTTGAGCTTGAAGTTTGAGGATGCGAGCTGTGGTTGAGGGGTTACAATTGTAAGTTAGAGTTTTGTGTGTTTTGAGGATGGGTTCTGCTTGTTGTGTTGCTGCTAGAGACAAGACTATAACAAACAGAGCTAATAGCGAAATTCTGCATCGTAATATGCGGTACTCACCAACTTGGAGCTTTCGGTGGGATAACCGGGTGGGGGTGGCAGCTGAAGAGACTTCTGTAAGTTGGTTTTCTGATGGTGTTAGCAGAAATGATGGATCAGAAGTTAAATTTGAGTCGGCATGTGTATCTGAGGAGGGAAGTCCACTGGAACATTTTCGAAGACATACGGCGCAAAAATCTTCAGTATCTGAGGGAACTGCTGGGCATGTCCGGACTCCTGCTTCAGGTAGTTTTTAGTATGAAAACTCTTCTATTCTATTCATATTTCAATAGTTTTGCAGCGTAAGTTTGAAGAATTTTCTTCTCTTCTGAAAGGTTTTCATATACAATTCACGCATTTGGATTGGAGAGGTTACTCTCTTGTTTCTTGTTTACGGGATTATGTCTTGCTAAATTGTATTCTTAATTCTTATGGTTGTTCTTGCAAGGTGGCCATGTTTTTTGCATGTACCATATTTGCTTTAGTGTCACATGCATTATGAGACTTTGTCAAATACGAAGACAAGACTTTTGCATCCAATTAAAGTATTTAGGTGGGTGAATGACAAAAACAATATACAACTTCATAATGTTTTTAGTTGCCTGTAATCCAAAAGACAATGCTGATGTAGTTACCTTGTCTCTACGAGCTCATATTCCATGAAGGGCCACGCTCTGAACTGAGGGTGACTTGGATGGCTATGCATTACACATATGCACTGATGGAAGGTGAATAGTAATTTGAAACAAAGGCATTGATGATTTGGATTATAAGTTTTATGTACCTCATGTATGTAAATATGGATTGAGAAAGGCACTGATGGTTTGGTTTTCTTTAGATGTTATTACTTTTCCAGTAAATGGCTGTTGGGTATAGTGGCACCTCCTTCCCCTGAAGATAAGGGTGAAGGATGAGTTTCTTCTGTTGTGCTGTTATGTTTTCCAAAAGACTTTTTCCGTTGCCAGAGTTGTAGTTTTAATGATAATATCATCATTCCTTATAAATTTCAATGCCAATAGTGTTTCCCATGCTTAAATACAATACTGGAATCTCTGTGACATTTCTTGTCAAAACTGTGCACTCCGTCTTTTTTCTTAGCTTCCATGTCATGACAATCTCCTTTTCCTTAGTGGGCTTTTTTCATTCCTGTAACTGGCCTATGATTGGGGTAGGCAAAGTGAGAATCTTTATGCCTGTTGCCTTGGCCACATTGCAACTAGGGGTGGTGTCAAATCCTGTGGTTCATTACATACTTTTAATTCAATATATTACTTAAATGTTATAGGTTTTTATTATTTATTATTTTTTATATTTAAATCTTCTTGTAATTTCCGGGAAACTGACTATAGAATCATAAAGCCTATGTTGTGAAGCCCTTTGGACTGGGCAGTTTCAGTTTATTTCATGTTAGCTTGAGAGGTTAAAAGGGCACATTCATCTTAATTTGTCAATTGTGATAGAAAATGAATAGATCGCGTTACTTCCTGCTTAACATTGAGTTAAATGTTTTTCATTTTTCCTGATGGTTTATAGGGAAATAGAATAGTAAAGTAGTTTATCTTTTTTAAATTGATGATCTCCTTAAGATTTCTCTTTAGTTTAATTTTTCTTTTCTATGTAAGCTGTTTAACATGACATTGACATGTTTTATCTGATATATATGTATGTTTCTATTGCAGATCAATCCATTTCAAGAAATATTTCCATGGATGCAAGTCTTGAGCAGGTAGATGTTAATGCCAGGGTGGCACTTTCTGCTATGATTTAAGCACCATTACTTTGTATAATCCCATGATTGTGGCATTTACTCCCTTATCTTTCATTATGTCTGTAGGTAAAAGAGTCAGAAGAGTCCCCTACTGTTTCATATCCATCCCCGACAAAATTATCAGTTTCGTTGCCTTCTACTTCATCCTTGTCGGCATCCCCTTTGTCATCCCAGAGTCACCTGCCTCCTCCTAGCTCAACTCCATTGAGGTGGCCCCGCTGTTCTCCAGGACATCAGTTATTAAGGCAAGTATCTGATGGCCGAGTCCCAGGAAACAAGTCACCCAACAGCTTCTCAATTTCTGAAGATAAGGCAAGGCCTCCCTCATGGAGCAATGAATCTGCTAGGGGCTCCCGTGGTGGTTCTTCTGATAGTTGGTCTATGAATGCATTTTCCGAGCTCATGGCCACATCTAATAGAGAAAGGTGGTCTTTTGACAGCGAGTCCTTTGGCTTTAATCGTGAAAAGATAACTAGATCCAGTAGCAGAGTTTCAGCTACACCCTCTGTTGATTCGCAGACGTGTGGGGTTTGCTCAAAGCTTTTGGCTGAGAAATCTTCATGGAGCAGCCAAAAAATTATTGCAACCAATGAGCTTTCTGTGGTTTCAGTGTTAATTTGTGGACATGTTTATCATGCCGAGTGTTTGGAGAATATGACACCTGAAATTAACAAGTATGACCCAGCTTGCCCGGTTTGTACTTTTGGGGAGAAACAGATCCACAAGTTGTCCGAAAAAGCATTGAAAGCTGAAATGGATTTGAAGGCTAGAAACAAGAGATCGAGGAACCGGGTGTTAGACCTTGATGGTGAGTCTGCTGTGTTTGATCGCTTGAAAAGCACTGGACATCAAGGAAAGGATCCTAAGTTGGGATCCAGTTCCAGCATGAAAAGCTCCTTGGGAAAGCCTTTTTTGAGACGGCACTTCTCATTTGGCTCCAAGAGCGCTCGAGCCCTATCAGAGAATCATTCTACTAGAAAGAAAGGGTTCTTCTGGGCCAAATCCAGCAAGATGTGAGCTCACACTAAGATGTTTGGGAGGTGAGGACAATCGTTTCTCATCTAATGTTGCATGCATCTTTAAATCAGCAAAAATAAACTAACATACTCTTTGGCATACCTTGACAAGTCCTACGCCTTTCTTACACTAGGACCATGATTTATCCCCCTTGTATGTTCAGGATTAGCTTCTATCTCCACTGAAAGCCATAAACTTCAAAGCCTTCAAATAGGGTGCGATGTTTATTGTTTTTATTTTCTTAAGGGTTCTTACAGACTCGGTATTGTTATTTTATGCAGATTTCGGTCTTGGTTCTTCTTTTGCAATCTCAGTTGGGCAAAAGGATTGGGAAGAGTGCATTTATTAAGGCATTGTAAACATCTGCACAACAGCATCTTGACGTTTGACAAGGTTAGCTTGTGAAGTTGCACTGTAAAGAAGAGAAGAACGAATTTATATAACAGTTCTTTATAGAAAGAAAAAGATAGTAGAATTGAAACGCTGAAAGGACCTGTGTCTGATTCTTACTGTTGTACAGATTTTCTTCTTTGCGTGAATTCATACTTGAATTTATCGAAATGAACTTATGTTTGTCAATTGGATCCTGGATTTGCTTAAAAGGCAACATGGTTCCTTCCTACAAAACTTTATGTTATGTTGGTGCAGTAATTTTTCTGCAGGTGCTGCCCATTTTAGTTACCAGATCTTTCTGTCAGTTTCGCCGTTTCGGATAGTGACTGGCGAAATGGTGTGGAGCGAAGTAACATGAACACGGTAAAGTGGTGGAAGAGGCGGGCATCATGGGTGAGCTTTATAATCGAGTGTTGTTGGTCTGAACTTGTCCGTGCTGTTTCGGGTTATAGCACGTAGTCGTGGGTGTAGTTTTAGGATTTTGTACCGGGCAAGGGAGGGCGTTGTGGGGATTTGTCTTGTTATCAATGAAGAATCATAAAAACTTTAAAGAGTTTGGTTGATGAATGCTTAGAAAAGTATTCCGAATAAAGGTTGAATCAATATGGGTTCATGGTCCTAGTCAAAGACAGCGAGACTTTGTGGTGGTAGAGTTTCAGTTGAGAATAATTCTGAGTATATTTAGAGAACATGTTGAGGAATTGGAATATTACTTGATTTTACAACTTGGCACACGGTCATCACGAAATTCACTCCTATAAATAGAAGTGGTTTTGCAGTGGAGATTCCCTTCAACTCGACCGAGTTTTGTTGATGCATTCATGTTGAGAGAGGTTTTTTTTTTTTCTCCATCTCCGGATGAGTTTGGGTCCCCCGGCGACTCATTTTATTCTCTGTGAGGTCAGGTAGGTGAAGCCTCTAGCTTAGGGGGTGCGTCAAATCGTTGATGCAGGGGCCACGGGAGGTACTAACAACTGAAAACTGAAAACGCTCTACACGAAAACCCTGGTTCTACACGAATCCTTCTCACACCTTGAGAAAAGTACTATCCTAACCCTCTCGTTGATACATCTTTAGTTTTGGTCAACACATCTTCAGTTTGGATAAGTAAACAATATTGGAGTCGTAGAATCAGGCGATTTAGGAGCACTTTCAATTGCTTTTGGCTAGTTGGGCAGGGAAAAAGTTTCTAATTATTTCACCTAAAGAGGTCATTCATTAGCTTTCTAGCGAAGTATAGTGTTTTATGGTCTGTTACTCTTAGGTGCACTTCATAGTTCGACATTCATACAGCCAAACCATGTTCACTATAAAAACACTCATTTTCTTTTAGTATCTTTGTCCGTACAACCTGATACCAATTCAACACACTTATATTCTCACAAATATAGTTGAAGCAATTAGACCAGTTGCAGAAGATCCTAAATTTATAGTGAATTAAGCAACCTTGTATTTATGTTCTAGAACCCTAGGCCAACATACATTTCTTCCACGCTAGTAGTTACTCAAGTGCAGAAACGAACAATGTATTTGCTCGACTAAACTTGGTTGTGAGTTGGCACGCCTGCATTCACAAGAACGTAATTAGCTAAATAGTTTCTTGGCCTATGTGTCATGTAGACTTTGTAATTTTTAGGGTCAATAATAGTATTGAAAATTGTGTGATATTTTATGTATATTCAATGTAGAAAATACTTACGCCATTTAGTACCACGGTCTAGTGGTATTCCTCTTCACTTGTAAGTGAAAGGTCTTAAGTTTGATTCTCGCTAAAGATAAATTTGAAATTATTACTAATCCATTATGAGGCTAGACCCATAATTTAAAAATATACAGACGAATATGGAATATTTGGAAAAACAGCCAAAATTTTGACTATGAATAGAATTTTAACCAACCATTATTAATTTTATAGTTTTAACCAAACATTGACATGAAAATACTATAATGCCCTCTGCTGTGTAGTTCACACCCATTTGCTTTGCTAGAGTTGGCACCATTTGTAAGGCTATCAACCATTAAAGCTTCTGACCCAAATGTAGCTTTTCGTAAAGAGCCGGAATTTCCAACGGAGCTCTGAATATTTTCAATTTCTGGAGCTTTAGAGTGCTGTGATACTTCTGTGACTGGGTCTTGCAAAGAAACATGGTGTATTTGCATAGAGGTTTGTGACTGAAATTGCAACGAAGGAAGCTAAGTCTTGGGGGTGTTAATTGGAGTTATTGTACGAATAGGTATTGTCTGTTGGGCACCCTCGCAGCTTCGATGGTTTTAACTTACCCAGGGCCAAAGAACTGCCTTCCTCCTCTCCAGCCCCTGCCCCCGCCAATATATTTTTAGTCTTTAAATTTTCCAATTGTATGCTTTTCTTATACAATGTGATGCAACTACAGTCATGTTTTCTAATGATCCTTTGCTCTTCTGTGATTACTTATTCAGCAGCAGTAGCAGCAGCCAACCGTGCCCGATCTTTTCGAAGTAAAATATGGGTTTTGAAAATAAACATGGTGTATTTGCTTAGAGGTTCTCGACTGAAGTTGCAGTGAAGGAAAACTGAGTCTGGGGGTGTTAATTGTAGAGCTTTTGAGTCGGAAATTAGTTGGGGAAGAAGAAGTGAGAGAGCGGGAGGAAGTTTGGGGGTTGTGGAAGAAAGATGAGGGTGAAGAGCACAAGTGATAAGCCATTTTCTTTCTCTGTAACCGTGTTTAACTCGCTTTTGTTCATAATTTTCCAAAGCAATTGCATAAAAAGCAAGGCAAATAAGGACATGAGAAAAATGGGGAAGAGTTTTTACTTGAAAAAGGTTAAGGCAAAGAACAAGGAACCGTGAACTGTAAAAGGCATTATGCTATTTTCATGTCAAGTTTTGGTTAGAATTATAAACATTTATAAAAGTTGGTTAAAATTCAATTTATGATTCAAAATTTGGCTATTTTTCTAAATTTCCCGACGAATATGTACATTACATTATACACGATGTTACCAACTAGTGAATGTACACGTAAAGCTGATGTGTTTATTTTTGCAGTATTCACAAAGAACCTATTTATTTCGTAACATAATCATAACGTGTCTAATCCATGAAATTGACATTTTCTTTGGGGCATACCATACATATCTTGTTTAACAAACATCAATGATAAGAGCATGAGTTTTACAGGGACTGGACCTTTTTACTTTAAGAATAAGTTGTACTTTCTAGAATTGATTTAACCATGCAATAAGTACAAAAAAATAAGTTTTAACGAAAAACCCATGAAACTGTTCACTTTAACGAAAAATCATATTTTTACATTAAAAGTTAAACTTGGTACTATTTACTTTACCCTTTATTTTGTCCTTATCTTTAAAACTCAAAGTTTTCAAATGATTTTCATTAGTTTTTTTTTACAAAAAATTGCATTCAATACTCTATACTTTAACTATTGAATTGAAATATAGTGAGATATTGAAGGAAACTAAACATTTTACCTTTTTCATTATAGCAATGACCCATGACATCGGGAGAAACAACCACTAGAGATGTCAAATCCACCGAAAAAATCTTTTTTTTTCTTCTATATGGTAAGTTTCACTGAACCATTGTTTTAATTTATCACAACCTAGTAAATGAAATTGTATTAAAGTTGGATTAATATGTTTTAATCCTAGAATAAACACGTTGGAGGGAACTTTTGGCTTTTGCCACAGTGATGACCCGGATTAAAACATTTGCTAGGTTTCAATTGGTCTTCAGCATTTGCTTTTGCCACTTTTCCACGATGGGCCGGATTTGCCCTTGCTATCCAAGTGTCCATGATTGGTGGAGCCTTTCTTTTGGTTTGTTCTTCATTTTTTGAACCCGGCTACAGAGAAGGCTATGTATGTGTCAATCATCGTGGAAAGAGAAGAGGATGCAAAAACTCTTATTGCTTCCAAAAAGCACGATTTGCATCTCTCATTCAACTCTCTCTCTAAGAAATCCATCTCTCATTCATGTTAGGATGCTTGGACAGGTGGCATCTTGTGATTGATACTTGTGTAAGTAGTTGGTTAGTTAGGAGGTTAGTAGAGAACCGACTACAAATAGCCAGCTTGTATCAGAAGGAGGATGTTATGAAATATATGAAGATTATCAGTATTCTCTCTGTGTTAACAAGGAAGACGTAGAGTAGATCTTAACATTTGGTATCAGAGCCAGCCGTGTTGATCTCTCAATCCTTCATTGTTGCATGACGCGACAAGTTTCGTGTAAATCCATTGAGTCACGAGTTTCTGGTCTCGAAGATAAGTTTGAAGAATTCCAAAAGTCTTAGGAGGAATTTCAATCGAAGCAATCGGAATTTCGAGCATTGCAAACGGATTTCAAATCGACCCAGGATTTGATGTTGCATCAGTTGCAATCAAGGTATTAAATATCGGTAATATCGGAAATATCGGTAGTCCGAAAACACGGAAATATCGATGGAAATATCGGTAAAATATCGATATCGATAAAAATTACATGGAAACCACGGAAATTGTAAGAAAAACTTGGAAATTTTTATTGAAACTTTGCAGGATGTTTATTTAGTCAATTATCTATTAGTTTATCACAAAAAATTGGAAGAAAATGCATTGCATGATGGATTTAACATTATCAAGTTGATTATATAGCGAGCTGACAAACATTGTGAGTATAGAAAATATGTAGTAATTAATGAAAGAAGTCTAAACACACCATAATCATTTATATATAATGAATTAGTACAATATTTTACACTTTAGTACCACATAGAGTTCCTATGAGGTTCAATTTTTTCACTATCTTCATCATCTCTACACATGTGTAGAGTGAGTGTCTTGTCAAAATTATTTGGAGATGCTTTTGAATTATTTATATGTTTTTTTATTTGATTTTGAATTATTTGGATTGGATCATTGCATTGGATTCTTTTTTTTTCTCACACCGCCACACATCACACGCAGAAGAGAGAGTCAGTGAGTCAGTGTGTCACAGACAGACCCCCCCCAAAAGCCAAAACCACGCACGCCCACAGAGAGTCTCACTCTGGATCCTTCTCTCTCTAGAACTTCTGTCTTTCTTTTCTCTCCCTTCCTTCTCTCTAGAACTTCTGAGCTTCTCCCTTCTCCAGTTCTTCGTCTTCTCCTCCTGCTCCCTGCTCATCTCGCCGCTGATATGCAGGACCCTCCCGTCCTCCACCTCCACTTTCACCTCTTCCTTTTTGATCCCCGGGAGGTCCGCCTTGAAGATGTGGGCCTCCGGGGTCTCCTTCCAGTCGATGCGCGTGTTGGCGATGGCGGTTGTTTCCCGGGCGGATGAGGGGAAGTTGGCCAGAGTGCCGAAGCCCTCGAACGGGTCCCAGATGTCGAGAGAGAAGGGGTCGAAGACACTGCTTCGTCGGCCGTTGCCAAAGAGATTGAGAGCCATTGGATGCTTGGGTTTCTCCTTCATCCAGCGCTCAACCCCTGGCTCTCCAACTCGCCGTCGCCATCGCCTTTTCATTTTCAAGAGGAAATATCGATATTTCCTCGATATTTTGACGAAAACCTTATGGATCTGTGTATAAATATCGAACTCTGCAAAAAACGATAATATCGGCGATATTTCACCGATATTATCGATATTTAAATCACTGGTTGCAATCCCTTATGGCGCGATTGAATGGTGGGTCAGTGGGGGAATCATCAGAGGCCACTCGCACCGATCCCCAATTTCAAGAAAGGCTGAATCTTAATCCTAATCATCAAGAAATGGGGCACACTTTCATTCAACCTAATCGTCCTCCATTCTTGAAGCTGGATTTTCCGAGATTCAACGGTATCGACGATCCAATGGAGTGGGTTTATAAGGCAGAACACTACTTCGATTTCTTTAATGTTGAGGAGTCCAAGAAGGTAAAAATGGCGTCTTTCCCTCTGGAAGGGGATGCACTTCAATGGTTTCAATGGGCGCGGTGCTTAGAAAACTTTCCGCACTGGAGTGATTTCACAAGGGTCCTATGCCAAGAATTTAGTCCTTCTGAGTTGGATGATTCTGCAGAAAGTTTGGTCAATTTGAAGCAGACGGGAACCTTGCGTAAGTATGTCAGGGATTTCAGACGATTATCCAATCGAACCCGGGACATCAGTTCGGCATTTCTCAAATCGTGCTTTATGGGGGGTCTCAAACCGGAGTTGCGACATGATGTCAAAATCTTGAGACCCGGAGATGTGCTTGAAGCTTCGGCCTTTGCTCAACAACTGGATGCTAAGATTACCAATCTTAAGGTGAAATCTTTTCCTAAAGCTCATTCGGTTCAATCCACTTTTAGATCTCCTTTGCAAACTGTTAATCCTAATACAACTTATGAGACTCGGGCAAAACCTAGTAATGTTCGGAGATTGACACCTGAAGAAGTAGATCACTGTCGAAGAAATCATCTTTGCTTTCATTGTAGAGAGAAATATTTTCAGGGTCATACATGCGTGAAGAAACAACTGTTGCTAATTGATGTTTAGGATTCGGTATGTGACGATGTTGACGGTTTAGACACTGAGGAACCTGAGATAACTGCCTGTGCATTGTTTGGTACCCCAGCACCACCTTTCATTAACACTATAAAGGTTGGGGGTTCGATTAAAAATTGCCCAGCCACTATATTGATTGACTCTGGCAGTTCTCATAACTTTGTAGACGTTGGATTGGTGAAACGGTTACGGGCACATTTGGTTACTGAGCATTTGTTTAATGTCAAGATTGCTGATGGGGGAAAAGTGGTGACCAAGGGTACCTTAGCTCAAGTTTCCGTCAAGATTCAGGATTTCCAATTTGTCACGGACTTGTATGCTATTCCATTAGGGGGGTGTGATATTGTACTAGGAATTCAGTGGTTGAGAATACTCGGTTCTATTCTATGGGACTTTGATAAATTGTATATGCAGTTTTCCAAGGACTCTAAGACCTTTTGCATCACAAGTCCTACAAATGTTAGTAGTTCTTTTGAGGATATTTCAGCTTTACAAATGCATAAATTATTGCAGCAAGAGACTACAGTGGGTGCAGTACTCTACCAAGTAGAAACAGAACCCTTGGTCTTGTAGGATATGAGACCAAATACGGCAAGTTCCAATTCTGTGAAGCTCACAGATCAACAACAGTTGGAGTTGAATGACCTATTAGTCGTATTTGAAGAGGTGTTTCTTCCACCTAAGACACTGCCTCCTCATAGAACTCAAGACCACAGAATTCCCTTGATTGAATGCAGCTCTCCACCAAACAGTAGACCCTACAGATATGGACCTATGCAGAAAACAGAAATCGAAAAGTGTGTGAAGGATCTTCTGGAATCAGGGTTCATAAGGGTAAGCAACAGTCTCTATTCGTCTCCTGTTATTTTGGTTAGGAAAAAGGATGGTACATGGAGAATGTGCATGGATTACAGAAGGCTCAATAGTATCACAGTTAAAAACAAATTTCCTATTCCCCTTATTGATGAATTGTTGGATGAGTTATTTGGTGTACAATTCTTTTCCAAGTTAGATTTATGGGCAGGTTATCACCAGATAAGGATGCACCCTCAAGATGTGGAGAAAACAGCCTTTCAAACACATGATGGGCATTATGAGTTTCTGGTGATGCCCTTTGGACTTACGAATGCCCCGACCACATTCCAATGCCTCATGAACGAAATCTTTCGACCCTACTTAAGGAAATTCATTCTCGTATTCTTTGATGATATTTTGGTCTATAGTACGTCTTGGTCTTCACACTTGCAACACTTGAAAGTGGTATTTGAAACTCTACAGCAACATGCCTTATTTGTTAAGATGTCCAAATGTGCATTTGGCAAGGATCAGGTGGAATATTTGGGTCATATAATATCTAAACATGGGGTATCTGCTGATCCTGCCAAGTTAGAAGCAATCACCCAGTGGCCTATGCCTACATCCGTCAAGGCATTGCGGGGCTTCCTGGGGTTAACAGGTTATTACCGCAAATTCATACCTTAATTTGGAAAAATAGTAAGTCATCTCACAGTTCTCACGAGGAAATATGGGTTCAAATGGTCTCCTTAAGCTACGGTAGCCTTTAATACTCTCAAACAAACAATGCTTTCACCTCAAGTTTTAGCCTTGCCAGATTTTAGTAAACCTTTTGTCATTGAAAGTGATGCTTCCGGGCATGGGATTAGAGCTGTGTTACAACAGGACGGGCGACCAATTGCATTTACCAGTAAAGCTCTTTGCCCGAGAAACCAGGCTTTATCAACTTATGAGAGGGAAATGTTGGCAATTGTCCATGCTGTACAAAAGTGGCAGTCTTACTTAGTAGGGAATCATTTTGTTATTCAAATGGACCACCACAGTTTGAAGTATTTTTTGGAAGGAAGAGCTCATACTCATTTTCAACAAAAGTGGGTCACCAAGCTTTTTGGTTTCGACTATGAGATACAATATAAGAAAGGGTGTGACAATCAAGCTGCCGACGCTTTATCTCGGGTGTCCCCTGGCATTGTTAGTTCTCAGACTGTCGATTCTATCAATGCACTTTCTTATCCCTACTCATCTTGGTTGGATGATATACGACGTCATACCGAGAAGGACTCTTGGATTATTGCTAAGTCTCAACAATTACTCCAATCTCACTGCGATGATGTTCCCATTGGTCTCTTACGCTTTCATCTGGATAATGGATTCCTGAAATACAAGCACATAATTGTATTAAGCCCATCAAGCCATTGGAGAGATAAGATTTTCACTGAATTTCATGCTAGTCCTGCAGCTGGCCATGAAGGTTTTTTTGAAGACATATAAGTGGATTTCCAGGGCATTCTATTGGGAGGGAATGAAGAAGGACATTAAAAGGAAAGTGGCGTGTTGTACTATTTGTCAGCAAAATAAGTATGAGACCATGTCGCCTGCTGGACTCTTGTAGCCATTGCCTATTCCATCCAAGGTTTGGTCTGACATATCAATGGATTTTATCACCAATCTTCCTTCCTGCAAAGGCAAAACTGTGATTTGGGTAGTTGTCGATAGGCTATCTAAATATGCACATTTCACGGCTTTGAATCACTCTTACTCGGCTTCCTCGGTAGCTCAACTCTTTGTGGATAACATATTCAAAATACATGGTATGCCACAGTCCATAGTCAGTGATAGAGATCTAGTGTTTATGAGCAAGTTCTGGAAGGAATTTTTTCACCTCAAAGGTTCTCAGCTTTGTTTTAGCTCGGGTTATCACCCACAAACTGATGGGCAAACTGAGGTTCTTAATCGGTGTTTAGAAACTTACTTGCGATGCTTTTGCACCCTGCAGCCCAAGAGATGGATCCCTTGGTTATCATGGGCAGAGTGGAGTTACAATACTAGTTTCCATTCAGCCATTAAGATGACACCTTTTGAAGCAGTATATGGTTATGTTCCTCCTCTTGTCCCTGTGTATGAAACTGGTACTACCAAAGTTGACTCAGTGGAGCAATGCTTGAAGGAGCGGAATAACATTTTATCTCTACTCAAAAGTAATTTGGAGGCGGCTCGTTGTCGAATGAAGGTTCATGCAGATAAAAAAATGACTGAGAGGGTTTTCACAGTGGGGGATTGGGTTTATCTCCGCCTAGTGCCTTACCAACATAAACCTTGGCAGCACATCCTTTTCACAAGCTTCAACCTCGTTTCTATGGACCATTCCAAATGTTAGCTCAAATCAGTAATGTAGCTTATAAGATCAAATTCCCAGATCACTCTAAGTTGCATCCGGTATTCCATGTGTCCTGTTTAAAAAAACATTTGGGAGATAATGTGCAAACCACAGTGCCCTTGCCAGTGATTACGGATGCTGGTATATTGCAAGATGTTCCCATTCGGATTTGTGCTCGATGAATGGTAAAGAAAGGCAACTCTGCAGTGACCGAAGTTCTTGTGCAATGGCATAATCACTCCACAGAGGATGCTACTTAGGAGAATTACAATGATTTGAAGATCAAGTTTCCCGAAATTGTTGATCTTTGAATTTGTGTTGTCTTTCTTTATGTGTGAAAATTGTTTGAGTCTTGTGTTGTACATTTCTGCAGAATTTTGTATGTGATCTGTAAGATCAGTTTTAAGGGGGGGGATGTATTGTTAGGATGCTCGGACAGGTGGCATCTTGTGATTGATAATTGTGTAAGTAGTTGGTTAGTTAGGAGGTTAGTAGAGAACCGACTACAAATAGCCAGCTTGTATCAGAAGGAGGATGTTATGAAATATATGAAGATTGTTAGTATTCTCTCTGTGTTTTAGTATTCTCTCTGTGTTACAAGAAAGACGTAGAGTAGATCTTAACAATTCAACTCTCTCTAAAAAAAAACCAAAAAATGACTTTGGAGCACTGAAGACGAATTGAAGTACGAGTGCTCTGATTTCAATAAGCCCTTGATTATGGCTATCAAGACTCTGATTTATGAATCCCGGGTTTTAAGTTTGGG